ATGCTGAGCTCTTTGACTCCAGATATGTAGCCTTTCGCCGAGATCGTGATAGCACTTGTATAAATAAGAGAGAGGGGGGGGGTGATGTAGCTTTAGCGGTCAAAAAAAAGACTTTAAATGCTCGTCGACCACTTGAATGGCAATCTGAGGCTGAGGATGCTTGGGTCAAAATCAATACGCACTCTAATAAGTCCTTGATCGCTTGCTTATGCTATTTGCCGCCTGATCCCGAGCTAGACAAACTAAAAGCCTTTTATTCCAACTGTCAGGGGAAAATGATCCATATGGGGGACAACACCGACTTCCTGTGCATTGGCGACTTTAATACGCCTACCATAAACTGGACTAAACGTACCACAAGCTCATATATGTGTCCAGGCCCTATATCTGTGGGAGCCAAATCTGAGCTTCTCTTGGAGACTCTGGACATCTGTAACCTCAAACAGTTCAATAACATCTCTAATAAAAATGACCGTTACTTAGACTTAGTCTTACACGCATCTAACTCCTTAAGCGTTCATGAGGCACACTCACCGAGTCGCACTGATGACCATCATCCACCTTTGCTTATAGATACCACTTGCCAAACCTCCACTTCTAATGTGATCTCGCGAGCCCGCAGTAAGAGACCCAATTTCTACAAATGCAATCCTGCTAATATTCGTGATGAACCGAACTCTGTAAACTGGAATGAGTACTTGGCCCGTGCAAACATTGATGACTCTGTCAGTAAGTTTCACGAGATATTGAATCAAATCATTTATAAACATACACCCTTAGCGAGCAATAGATCCAATAAATTTCCTTTCTGGCTTAGTCCCGCACTGATTCGTTGTATGAATGAAAAACCCAAGTATCACAGGCGGTACAAAAAATATGGTAACCCTCGTGATTATGACTCCCTTGACTTGCTTCGTGCTCGTTGCAAGTTACTTTTGAACAAATGTTATAGGTCCCATCTCGAGTCTGTTGAAAGTTCCGTCAAACTTAATGTTAAAAACTTCTTTAGATATGTAAACGACAAAAGAAAATCCACTGGCATACCCCGAACCATGACACACGGCGGCGTCACATCCTCAAATGTGGAGGAGATATGTGAAATGTTTTCGAAACACTTTAGTTCAGTCTATGAAAAAAATAACTGCTATCTCTACTCGCCTAACAAAACAGCCAATCGTGGTTTGTTTCTGCCAGACGCAAGGATAAACTATGATAGCATTAAAGCAGAAATACGGTCTCTTGACATTGGTAAAGGAGCCGGCCCAGATCAAATCCCTCCTCACTTTATAAAGAGCCGCCGCGATGAGCCCAGCGCTCCTCTGTTCATACTTCGCAATAAGTCATTAGAGTGTGGCACCCCTCCTAGTCTTTGGAAGACAGCATATGTTATTCCCATACATAAATCTGGTGACAGAGAGCAAATCAGCAACTACAGACCCATCAGTATTTTGTCTCGCTTTGCCAAGCCACTTGAATCTCTAATATATGAGACACTCCACTCACATTTCAAGCCATTTCCATCACCTCATCAGCATGGTTTCCTGGTTAATAGATCATAACAGTAAGCAATCTCTTAGAATATAAATCCTATCTGTGCTCCGCTTTTGCCAAAAGGTGTTACAAAGTTTTATATAAAACAAACAACAATAATTAGTCAACCTCATCAGAACTTTCTAAATTTTGACCTCGGCCACTACAACAGGGCACTCCTAGGTCGTCCGCATTCCTTAGACCTCGGCCCATACCAGGCACTCCTAGGTCATCCGCATTGCGTAGACCTCGGCCCATACCAGGCACTCCTAGGTCATCCGCATTCCTTAGACCTCGGCCCATACCAGGCACTCCTAGGTCATCCGCATTGCGTAGACCTCGGCCCATACCAGGCACTCCTAGGCCTTCCGCATTGCGCAGACCTCGGCCCATACCAGGCACTCCTAGGTCGTCCGCATTAATATAATAATAATAATATAATAAATTTATTTATTTCTTCTTACAACAATCGAAGCACATAAAATACAGGTTAAGCAACACTTAAGTAATATTATTGGGCGTTGTAAGAAGCTGGTGTCCGAAACCGGCTTTAACCTGTACTACGGATCACCAGGTCCTTACCCCTGGAAAATAATCTATACATAACAATGTTCTTCATAACCATATTGAACCTGTATATACATAATATTTATTCATGGTAAATACAAAAACAAAAAAATAAAGGTTGAGAGATAAACAGAAACGTTTATAAATGCATGGTAGTTAATTATTTTTTTATTTTAAGCAAAAATTTGATCACTTAACAGAATTTATTTTAGATGGCTAAGTAGATTTTCTGTGTCTGAATAGCTTAATGCCTGAACTCAGTCTTTTACAATTTTTTTACAATCTCCTACTGTTAACGGATATAACATTAGTTCTTTATTAACTTTATTGTACAAATTAATACCTTGATAACAAAAAAAAACATTACGTAGACCTCGGCCCATACCAGGCACTCCTAGGTCATCCGCATTACGTAGACCTCGGCCTATACCAGGCACTCCTAGGTCGTCCGCATTACGTAGACCTCGGCCCATACCAGGCACTCCTAGGTCATTAAATGATTCAAACGTCTGTCTACCTTCACAGCCGTTTCTATTGTATTCCTCCATATCTGAAACGGACATTATTTCGCGTACATAAAAAATAAGTCATTTTTCGTAGAGTACGAAGGGACAACTGACCACATTCAATCTGGATGAAATTAGAACAGCCTTATATAATGAAAACACGCTTAGAAGATAAGGTAACATGTACATGAGTAAAAATAACATCTGAGCACATAGGGTAGTCCCCAGTCAGATGAAAAAAAATATTAAGAGTCCTTTTACAAAATTGCGCCACTGCCGTACTGATCGGGGCGTAGGTAGATTTGCACTAGTATATATTGCATTTCACGGGAGATGTTTCGAGTCTTATAAAGTAATTAGTAATGAACTAATTATAAAAAAAATAGATATTTCAGTAGTTCAATGATGGTAGATTAGTTTTATGAAAGTTTTTGATAGTAATTCTATTATAATTCAATATCATTTTAACAACAATATCAAATGCCTTATTATCAAATCATTAATAAAAATTACTTAAAAACATATATAAATTTAATAGTGCATAAGATGTTTGTATATATGCGTATATCATAAAATATGGCGTCCTTTCTCTCCACTGCTAGCTCAGCCGTCATATAAAAACTTAACATCATTCTGAAGGCAATTTGTATCGGCTATTGATAGCAAATGGATTTCGATACGTAATATAGACTTGATTTCTCTTACAGAAAACGGACTACCCACATTTTACAGATGTTTGCGTAACAAATATTTATATGCATTGTTTGAACTAAGTCATCAATTTGTAAATTATTAACAGTTATAGTAAAAAAAAACATTTTTCAATAGTGATTTGTGATATAAGTGTGTGCATGTCCAACTAAATACACACGTACTGGATTATTCTTTTGTTTTCTCATGTAAGTGAATTTTGTGTTCTGTTTTGAGAAATAAATGTTTTAAACCAGAAACCATAATGATATGGAAAATCAAAATTCTCATACATTATGTTACAACAACAACATATTTCTGATGTCGTAGTAATTAATTTGATCATTTTTTTTTGAGATATTGGGGCGTTTGAAGTTGTGCATATTATCGTTTTTTCCGTAAACTAGCTGCAGTAGAACGATCAGTACAAAAAAAAAAGTATTTTCAAATAGTCTACATTAACTTACAATAGGAAGAATAAATCTACTGTTTACTTCTATTGGAAATAGTCAAAAGGGGGTAAACGAGGCGCTCGAGGAGAGTTTTTTGCAAAAAATGTGAAAGGACTCTTATGCAAAACCGAGTTGCATTGATTACATACTTTATAGAGAAGTGCTATATCATATCTCAGTGTTCAATTACACAATGGCCACATTAATGCAAACTCAGTGTAGCCCACGAAGTATTCAAGAAGAAAATATATATATATATATATATATATATATAATCACATTTACACACCCTTTGAGAGTAGTCCCAGTATGGTGTGCATTTGGACAACAATTACACGTACCCCAGGCAATAGCCTCTGGAGGTTACTATTAATTAATGCAAAAGTATTCAAGAGAAACAATAAGATTATAACTTCATTTACACACTCCCAGAGAGTAGCCCCAGTAAGGTGTGTATTTTTACAGCAACTACACGTAACCCCAGGGAGTAGCCCTGGCAGGATACATGCAGAAGCATTATTGGGACGTGTATGATCATGTAAAATAATAATAATAAAAAAAATGTAACGTTCTTGAAACTTTAAATATAGGAGTTATGAAATTAGCACTTATGAATGAGAAAAAAAATAAAATAAAAAATAACTTGCGTTTTTTTTTTCTGGGCGTAGTGAGAATATCAGGATATTCTCAGTCGATCCCGCTTCTGAAACTATTAGATTAGTTTCCAGAAGTTAAACCATAATGTTAATTTTCCACTTGCTTTATTCAACTTGTACTTCACTGTAATATAAACTAAAATTATTATAACAAGAATATTTAGCAGCAACACCACGTTAAATTTTGGACCACTATTCACGACGAAGGCTCTCGACTGAATACCGTATTTTATGACCGCTCCACTCGCTGGTCCGTCTCCCCTTCACGTCACGTGATAAGATGGTGGGGAGGTAAGGTGATGTGGCGTGATTTAGCATAGACAAACTAAGATAAAAACAATAACTGTACTATTGACCGATCTGTAAAAATGCTAATATTATAAAAATGCTAACAGTTGTTATTGGAAGGTCCTAAAATAAAACGAGCATTTTTTTAAAAAGAAAACTTGTCTGTTTTGATATTTTTAAGCGAATTATCGTGAAAGTTAGTCAGAAATCAATTGGTTCGGCAGTACTTATTTTAAAAATGAGTAAAATGTAACAAAGAAATTTACAATAGAAACTGTACAGAATGGTTATGACTATACTTTGTGTTTCAGATACAACCCTGCACCTTCGATATTAAATCACGCTCAGACAACACTAAGGGAACCAATCTATTGGTATTTAATAAAAAAAGATCTTGATTATTTTTCATTATATGCGAATAATACAGGACCATACGACATATCGAAATATGAAAGGAACGATTTCACTATAAGCAACATAGAAACTACGACTGTATTAACAAAATTTCAATATTACTTGATAAATTTATACAAATCTTTGGATGGTGATCTACCGTTACACGAAGCAACGGCGATGCCTAATGTGTACGCAAGACAGAGAAGATTAAACCATGAACCTTTTACGCTTAAATTTACAATAGAATCTAAGTTACAGAAAGATGTTACAATAAGACTTTTCTTGGGACCATCATGTTCTATCAATAATTGTTGGGCTTTGTATTATAAATTCTTTCAGCTGGACTGCTATCGCTACAACGTAAAGGTTGGTACTAATAACGTTACTTGGACTACAGAGTCATCATCAAAATACTATTCGGACCAAAATTTTAATAAGACTGTATCTTACGAATCACTAGAAGAAAATTATGATGTATACAAATTTCCAAGAAATTTGGTTATTCCAAAGGGACGTAAAGAAGGGCTGCATTTTACAATATTTATAATGATTGATGATGAAGATGTCAATCATGACTTCGAAGATACTTCTCTGTATATGCAGGTTACCGGTAATATAAGCAATAAGCCGTTGGGATTCCCGTTCCATAGACAGGCGGATGTAAAAACAGTGAACGCTAATGCTCCAAACTACAGATTCTACAATATTTTAGTGTTTCACAAAGCAAGTCCTGCAGATAATACGGGATATTTTTCACCACATATTTACTGAACTTTAGTTCAATATTAGGTAATTTGTAAGATTATAATGTAGCGCTTATCTTTAAAAAATGTAAACACAAAAGTTGCTATAACTTCCGTCATGTTTATTGACAGCTTAGTTTAATTATGAAAATTATATTTAACCATCTGTACGGTGGTTACAAAAAATTTAGTCTTATTTTGAAAACACTTTTTTATTAAAAAGAACAAACATCAAATTAATGTTTTATTATCCTTTTCATCCATTCATTGAATGACAAGTGTAGAAAACTAAAGAACGATTTGAATAATAATGAAAGTTTGTTAACGAAATCGGTGTTAGCCACGGTCCACCAAATCGTCTCTAGCACCGGTGCCGTTAACAAACCTCCATAGTGTCCCATACCTTTCTGACACCCGAACGTAGATACGGTTTGAAACCCTGCCTAACCCCGACAGAAAATCGTCCCGTTGATTGTTTTTTCCTGTTGAATGCTAACGTGCGATGTTAAGTGACCCAGGAGCTTGGTGGCGCAGTCGTTAGCTCGTTCAATCTGATATTGCGGGCGTTCAACAACTTCAGCATTGTTCGGTCAAAGGACGGATCACTGAAACTGAATCGTCTTGGGCTCCTCCATGCTTTGAAATGCACATCAAGCCGTTAATCTCGGCTGCACCCGCAGTGTTTGGCAACTATCAATCTGCACAAAGCCCACGTGCTTGTTCTGGCCCACTCTTCCTATACTATGCACAAAGAAAGACAACAGTGGGGATTAATACGTGATGATGATTATGAAGCAACCAACCATAGGCATAGATTTAAATTTTCTCAATATAAAAAAAACACAATATAGTTATTCTACCTTGAAATTCTTTTTTTGACTCGGTGAAATGATATACGCAATCCCCTCCACTGGGCAAGGCTACGGGTTTATGTGAGGGTCTTCCCCTACCTACCGCTCCACTCATCATCTAACCTCACTGAGTGATTTGGTGGCTGATCAAAAAAGGGGGCCCAATATACTAAAACACTAGAATGTGTTCTCTCTGTTATGTTGGATACGTTTGCAATGTTTGGATACGAGTTCCGACGCGGTACTGGCGCGGCAAAAGCAGCTTCCCCAGGCACCACTTGCACTAGTTGGCTACAGCTCTCCGACCTTCCGTGAGGAATTTTTAAAATTCGTGGCAGACGTGGATCTCATGCCATATTTTTCATCGCTGGCTATCATATGCATTCGCTGAGTGTTTTACGGCGGCTTATCGCCTGGCTGAATGACGGAGTTCTGCCACCAAACAGCCTACAATCTGTGTCCGGAGTGGAATCCAGGTGGTCAGTTACCCGACACTCATCCTCTAAAAATTTGAGGAGATCCGCGAGGGATTTGAGGTACGATGCGCTATGGCTCTCGTATTTCTTAGCAAAGCGCCCCTTCATATCCGCGGGCAACTTGAAGAGGATGTGGTGGCGTAGCACGAACGTCGCAATAGTTAAAAGCTACCTCCGCAATGACGAGACCCGCGTGATTCTGGGGAGGGCCAAGATAGCGGCCACATGAGTGCCAGTTAACAACCGGACATTTTGTTACCGGGTCACCAGTAGCTAGCTAGCTAGCCAGGTCACTAATAAACAGGTTTTGGGTAAAGGAGCTGGCTTCTGCACGAAGGGTCGAGCGCAAATAAGCCAGCTCCTGACTTAGGGAGAAATACTCTCTCGTGTCTACAAGACTCTCTAATGAATTAATAAAGCTCATGCAGGCAATAATAAATAGACAGCCCTCCCAATAATGCCAGCAGAACCTACAAATCGTCAATTTCATACTTTAACCTCTAAAAATACAATCAAAGTTGGTTAGGACACACCACATGATTTAGGTGGTAATCTAGTCCTAAATAAATTTAACCTTCTTTATTGTTAGTACGTAATACGATGATATGGTACAATATGAGCTGTCTTCCAAGAGTCACAAATAGAAAATTGTGCAATTAGGTATGATTCTTACGTACAGATGCATAAAAAAGTACTCAACCCGACTCGATATTTGACGTTTTCTTACATCAAATACTGAACTTTATACTTTACTTCTTTAAACTCTATATCATATTTGTCTGGAGATTTCTAACTTATTGCAATTCAAAAGTTCTTACGACATTTCATTGAAATGGATCCGAAATTGAAGCATCTGTACCCTTGGTACGAAACAATATCGAATTCGAATAGTTTGCGAGTGCGAAATGTCAATGTCAAATTTTGTATGGAAACAAAATACTTAACAAGAACTAAAAATCAGTACACATTTGACAATGACATTTCGGACTGGCAAACGTTATGAATTCGATATTGGTTCCTGCCAGGGGTACTGACTGGTTATTGAACAGTGTTTTAACTCCTGTATGAACACTGTTCATCCAAGAGTTATTGAAATAGCTATAAATGATGAAAAATTGGTTAATAAAATACAAACTACACGAATAAAAAAGAGGGCCAAAGATTATATTAATGTAAGAACATAATAATGTATAAAATCTATCTGTAATCAAAATAATATAAATAAAGCCCTTTAAAAATAATGCATTAGATTAGTGGATAAAATGTAAATAGTGTTTTCGAGCAAAGAATATTGTCAATTTATTACAAACAGCCAACTGTTAAAATCATTTGTCATATTACAATTTTAACCTTCCCGTATTTTAAAAGCACCATTTTCATAAAAAATACTGTTGTCTTTTTTGCAAAAAAATCCATTTATAATAATCATTACATGTATACTACAAGCAGAGCTATTAATTTTTTTTTAGTAAAGGTTGAGGAAAATAATTACGTTTATAAAATCGTTGTCTCCGATTATACACAATTAGTCTCGTTCTAAGACGAAGATCTTACAATTTGTGATGGAAGCAACGAGTAACTTCCACGTTGGTTTTCAAATTCTAAAGAACACTAGTGACACAAGTGTATAATGGTGTAAAATTTCAGTTTTTTTAAGGAAAATGTGGATATATTTCATGCTCTTCGGAGCCGTGCTATCAGCACCAGCTGATGAAATAAAAAATGTGTTAGATGAAGGAGGTATGTTCACTAAATTTCAATATCTTTTGACCGTGTTATGTTGCTATTGATGAGTGTCGAGGGCTCCCCATAATAAGAGGAAGGAGTCAGGGTAAGCGTTTTACCTACCCTGAATCCTCAGTCTACTATGTATTAACTACTACGTCCGAATTGTTAATTTTTGCTTAAAGCAATTTGCAATAGACCGTAGCAGCTGCTTTTGAATACTTATTTATATAATATATAAAAATTATATAATTATCCAGTTGGTTTTTACCAATGTCTTTGCAGAATTATATCGCACCGATCAAATGTTTTTGAAGCCAATAGTACCTTCTGGTTATTCACCATACGGAAATGGCAAAGAGACTTTTCAGCTTTCTTATATATTTCCAGAGGTAACACAATAACAGCTTTGCCTAGCAATACATTGTAATGTAAACTTTTCTTAGCTAAACTAGTCCCCTAATATAAAACAAAAGTAATTTGAGAATTCCAATTTGAAGCATAAATTTGGCATGTCCATATCACTAAAAAATTTACTGTTAGCAATTGATTTTTCAGGATAATAAATATTATGCAACTTTCAACGAATACTTCAAAAGGGGGATTACTATGAAAGGATTAACATTTAATATTTATGACGATAGCATGAGAAATGCAGCAATAGCTTTATTCGAACTTATAAGAAATACAAGAAAAACGGAAAAATCTAATTTCGATAAGTTATTAAAATGGATCAATTACAATGTTAACAGCGATATGGTTGATTACGCTTCACGTCTTGGATTTTTATTTGATACTTCCACCTCGAAAAAAGAGAATTTTTTACCTCCTTTCTTAGTGAAACCAAATTACTTTGTTGGAGGTGAAACCATTTTCAAAGCATTTTACATCAGTGATAAAATAGGCAAAATCGCGGAAAGCATCTTCAAAACTTATCAAATTTTAAACATAGACGGAAGAAGCTTTGCAATTAATAGCAATTATTCTGGTTGGAATATGCCACTACACACATGTGACAAGCAAATCAAATATTTCACTGAAGACATTGCACTCAACAGTTATTATTACGGATTACAACTTTTACATCCGTTTTGGATGACTAATGAGGAATTAGATGCTTTGAATCCTCGACATGCTGAGCATTACTATTTTGCACACAAACAATTATATGCTCGATATCTACTAGAAAAAGACCATTTGCCATCAGATGAAGAAGCAATAGAAGCAGATTGTGAACCAGAATATAGCCCGCATTTATATTACGATAATGGTCTTCCTTTTCCATCTAGATGTGAGATTAATGGCGATGATAAAGAGGGCAACTACAATTATTTAGAAACCAAGGATTTAGAGATTAAGGAAAGCATTCACAGAGGAGCATACACGGTATTAAGTTTATAGTCTGGATTGTATTACTCGACCGCTTTCTTTAAAAGAGGAGGGGCTCAATTCGGTACTTACAGCCGCATAGAAACAGCTCAAATTAATTTAATCCAATTTTATATAGTATTTTATCCTATTTTTGGTAGCGAAAATATAGTGATAGCATCTATAATACGATAGTAAAATCGATCCGATGTGGATCCTCGTAGTTTCGATATAAATCCGCGCCGATCCACTTGGGATCCACGAGTGAAATTTTTACGGAATAGCACTGCGGATATTTATTATATTTTTATTTTATATTTCAGGAAAATGGTACAATAGTAGTGCTGACTGAAGATAATTACATGAATCTTTTGGCGAGACTTGTTCGTTCTCAAATGAATAACATAAAAAATGCAAAAATTACAAGATCTGTTTATAGTTACCGAACTTCAGGTTATCTTATTGACAAGTAGGTATTTTAATGAAAAGCCTATTATATTGATACTATATATTACGGAAACTGTTAGGGATATAACCATGTGCATTGTCTTTTTTCAGATACAACCCTGCACCTTCGATATTACACCACCCTCAGACAACACTAAGGGAACCAATCTACTGGTATTTGATAAAAAAAGATCTTGATTATTTTGCGTTATATGCAAATAACACAGAACCATACGACTTAACTAAATATGAAAGGAATGATTTCACTATAAGCAACATCGAAACTATTACTGTATCGACAAATTTTCAATATTATTTGATAAATTTGTACAAATCTATGGAAGGTGACAAACCGTTACATGTAGCTATGACGATGCCTTATGTGTATGCAAGACAGAGAAGAATAAACCATGAACCTTTTACGCTTAAATTTACTATAGAATCTAAGTTACAGAAAGATGTTACAATAAGACTTTTCTTGGGACCTTCATGTTCTATCAATCATTGTTGGGATTTGTATTATAAATTCTTTCAGCTAGACTGCTATCGTCACAATGTAAAGGTCGGTACAAATATCATAACTTGGACTATAGAATCATCATCAAAATACTATTCTGACCACAATTTCAATAAAACTGTGTCTTACGAACAACTTGAAGAAAATTATGATATATTCAAATTTCCTGAAAGTTTAGTTATTCCAAAGGGACGTAAAGAAGGGCTAAATTTTACAATATTTATAATGATTGATGATGAAGATGTTAATAATGACTTTGTAGATTCTTCTTTGTATATGCAAGTTACTGGTAGTATTAGCAATAAACCGTTAGGTTTCCCGTTCCATCGACAAGCGGATAAAGACACAGTGAACGATAATGCTCTAAACTACAGATTCTACAATATTTCTGTGTTTCACAAAGCGAGTCCTCCAGATAGTACGGGCTATTTTTCACCAAATATTTATTGAACTTTTGTTCGATATTACACCATTTTTCATAATGCTTAGCTTAAAAATGTATCGAAAATAAAAATAAAATTAATTGTTATAATATTTTGTTCAGGACGAAATTATATTTATCCATTACTGGCATATTCATATATTTTTCAGTGTTATTTTGATTTAAAATTATTTCTATAAAAAATGAAAACATGAAAGTGGTGTTTTATTACCCTTATTATTGAAGAATAATGTTTTTTTTTTGTGGTACAAAGTTAAGACCATAGTGTAATTTCCATTTTAATGTATAACAACCTCTAGTTTACACCTCGTTTACATCAAGGAACAAATCATATATTAGTTTTATACAAACTTGTAGAATATTTGTTATGACGGTTTAAAACATTCTTTTGTTTACACCGCATAGACAACTAGTATCTTTACAAGTACAATAATATTTTCTTCACATATTTTGTATATCAAACAAGTTTGATGCAAGTATTGTATACTAAATATTTTATACCGGTATATAATTGTAAACAAAAACTTAAGACCTTGTATTTTTTTTCAATGCATTATAATTGCATAATACCTTGGTTTAAACAAGGGTTACCCCTCGTTTACACCAAGAAACAAGTCATATACTAGTTTTACACAAAACTTGTGGAATGCTCATTGTGACTGTCTAAAACATTCTTTCGTTTACACTGCTTATAAAACTAGTATATTTACAAGTATATATAACTATTTACTTTACATATTTTGTTTATCGAACAAGTATTGTATACTACATGTTTTACATATGCATATATGTGTCAACAAAAAGTTAAGACAATGTGGTCAAATTGGCCTAAATGCAAATAAAATATTGACATATACAGTAATTCTTGGCGTAATTTATACTTTATTTCACAGTCATTAGATTTTAACGGCCACCTTTAAATAATATATTAATTTTAAAAAAGGACTTCTATTTTTACCGGTTTGGAAAACATACGAATCATTTTTATTGGCTATGGGTGTAGTAACATTCACAAAGACTGATCGAGGTTGTTTATATAACATCAAAACAAATCTATTTTGTAAAGATTGATAAAATATATTTTTTTTTTATTACACGGGTGGTATTAATATCCACAACTTTATTATCATTTTTACTACATGCAAATGTGCTAAGACAATTAATATAGATGGTAGGCGACATCATAAATTCTATTGCCGTACATTTTTTTGCCAAACACCTAAATAAACACATTATAAGGTGTGATACACTAAAAATCTAAAATATGGTTATAATAAAAACATAACAAAAATAATGAAGCTGCTGAAGATATGGCTGTATAACCTACAGCTCTTAGCTTTCTTTGATTAACGAGAGTTTAAAAATTCTCTCTAATCTGTGGCTCATTCACAATCATCACACAGTTTCTGTTCGTGTTTTTAAAAACATGCACATATCTGTTATTTTACATGCTCTATATACCTGAATCTAATACATAATATCGGTAGGTACTTGGCTTGATTGCCCTATTTTCCTATATAAGTTATTTGGTTTTTATTATTCTAATACCTATGTGCCTATTTGCAAACATAACCTCAAAATCATTCAGTGTATATGGTTTATAGAAGTTCTCAGGAGTGGCCGTCGATAATATTCGTTTCTACGGTAATTTATATATAATTACGAATGTAGGAAACAATTTTTCATGGTTATTGGTTTTTAGGCCAAACATGTATGGAAGCTGAGCAATCTGTAGTATACCTTGGTATAAACGAGGGTTAAGTCCCTTTGTTTGACACATACTTAAATTTGACTATTAGTTAATGTCACATCAAATACATACAATAAAATGTGTCAATTTTTCACAAACTGTTACGTTTTTCTATATTAATTTAACTATGGTCACCATTAACTATATACCAAACAACGCGGCCACACTAAAAAATCAAGTAACGGAACTAACCGACCAACTGAATAACAAGGAGGGCGAATGGAAAATTTTGTTTCTGTAGCCCTAAGGATTTCGTTGCTGCAGCCAAATATTTTTTTTTCCTGTCAAATATATAAAAGTGTGGTGGTAAGAGATAGAAAAGCTTGGCGGCGCAGTGGTTGTGCAAATTTTGGCATTGGCCGGTCAAAGGATTGATCACAAACACTGTATTGTCTTGGTGCCATCCACGCTTTAAAAGGCACGTTAAGCTCAGCTGCATCTGAAGTCGTTGGCAAACATCGATCTGCGCGAGGCCCACGTAGTTGATTGGGCCCACTCTCCCTATTTTGTTCTTACGGAAGACCAGTAGTAGGGGATATTTATAGATGATGACGATACAAACACATACCACCATAGGGTTAGATTCTTGCTTTACCAAAGTAAATTCTACACCTTTGAAAGGTCCCAATAACATACTTACGTAATACAACACTTCAAAAAGTCATAATAAAGAAAGAAATCAGTGGCTGAAAACCACTTTACAGAAAAACTTAGGAAGACTTTAGAGTGTCTTACTGTTCTCACTTACGTGAGTTAGTAGACAGTTATCTACCTTCAACACCTGTCCTATGAAATTCTGGAAACCTTACTCACTATAGGGTAGGTAAAACTAAACACGACTCAATAAAACAGTTTTAATTGGCTACAGAGAAGTTTTCACTATATTTACGATGAAGTACAATAACAGTAAAGAAGGTCTATACCTACCATCTACATGGTATACTCGAAGGACATAGGCATAAAATTATCTTAAACACAATTTCAATTTCTTATTTTTTTCATCTAAAGCCCACTTGCAGTAATTTTCCTAAATTTCGATTCAACTAAAACTAGATCTATTCCACAGAAAAAAAAACAAAACGTCAATGTCAAATTGACATTATTGTATAGGCTTTAATTATCATGTTTATCGTTAAATTGAGATTCAGCAAAATTTCTGCAAACGGACTTTAGGCCCAAATTAAGACCAGTTCTAATATCAAAAGAAGCGCGCTAAGATATCGTGGCCAACCGTCATCTATATATATATATTTTATTCGGTAATAGGTAAGCGCTTGTATATATTACTTTAAACCGTGATATAAATATGATATATATCAGAAATCACGATTCTCATACAGACATAATTTATCAGCATAATTTTGATAGTAAATTAATGATGTGCACAAGTATTGAAATGAATCGAACTGAAATATTCTAGAGACAATTATTTTCGTTCTCGATTATACACACACTCTTCATATTATTGGTGTAAATCTTATGTTTTTAATAGATCTTGTTTCATCTAAATAAGCCTTCTCAATTCACACACCCTGAATGAAAGTAACCTATCTCAAAATTCCCTTTGATAGAAACTTAACTTAAAAAACATAATCATGACAGGGTTTTGTCACTTTTTTCCACACGATTGCAGATTCTGCTGTTTAAGGTCAATGTCTAACAAAGGGAATAACTCACGTGCCACTTTAAATTGCAAGATTATTCAATTTTCTTCAGGGTCTTAGAATAAGAATAGTACACTGACATTCAATAGTAACAATGATCACATTTTCTTTATAGTTTTACATGAATTTTAAGAGATTTTACCAAATTGTGTAAATACCATAATATAGCCTAATTACTACTATATATATACTACCCCTATATTTCCTACAAGATCGAGATTCTCAAATGCCATCAATGTGGTCTTCTTTAAGGTGGAGGTTAATTTCCCATAAGGACGCTCTAATTGGAGCGGGAAATCCGCTGCGTCCTATATATTTTAAAATATATTGAACCGATATCCTACCCGTGGAAACAACATCAAGAAGTGAGTAGATTCACTGCAGTGTTCTGTAAGATTGAATTATTTTCCTTTGCGGATACGCCAATTCGATAATACAATCCACCATCCACCAATCCTCTATTATCACTTCCAAGTACTTTCTGAATAATTTTCAAACAAGAAAATATTTTGACTCAATTTCTTCTAGTAATATTCTGGAATCGAGTCGTTCGTTCGAGTTCTGTCTGATGCTTGTATTTACAAAAAATTACTAGAAAAAAATTGGAGATTTTCTAGTAAAATTTTTTTAGATAAATGAATATAGCTTACCAACCAAGATTATCAATTTGACATTACATTATAAAATTAATAATTTTAAATTAAACATTGATTATTTATTGCACTATTTATTGATTATTACTTATTGATTTATTTGATTATCAATTACATTGTACTTTACTCAAATGATTGTTGTGTGTGCTTGAAAAGGCTTGGATATATGTCTTAGAATAATTATTATTTTATTTTATAATGTTTTTATATGTTTAGCTGTAAGTACACCTATTAAATAAATAAATTAATAGCATTTCAATGTTAAGAATAAAATATTCTAGAATATATTAAAGATAAATAATAGTCATTAAAAACGCTGTTGAGGACTGTACATGCCGAGTGTTGTTTGTAGCAACTCTTGTCATTGGTTAGACAGGTCAAGCCAAGTTACAGTAGATATACTATAATGGCAGTGCGACCTTTGCGTTAGCTGTAACAGTACAAAAGCTAAGTGGTATATAAAAGTAAAATGTGGATATTTTTGATGCTCTTCGGAGCTGTTATATCAGAACCAGTAGATGAGGTTATGAATCTTATAAATGAGAAAGGTATGGCTATTCGATAAATAAAAAAACACTGCCAATAATTTACTACTTCCGAATACGAAACTCTGACTAATCTATTTAAAAGAAATGCACGGCACTTGTTCACTTTATAATGATTTAACAAGAAAAATGACACCCAATCAATACTTTTACGTTCATTATTTAATAAAACAATTACCTATTTAATGGATATAAAGCGCATTTTAAATATAATAAAGCGCAATAAAGAAAAGATAAAATCAAATTAAGTCTTTAATTTTTTAAGAATTAAATTAATCAATACACAAATAGTTCTAAAAACCAACCAACAAGTTTTCAATAAAATCTTTACTTAATCAATTATAAATTTATTTTTACTCCATTGTAACTCCACCAAAGTACAAGTTACTTCATCAAAGTTTAACAACATCTGCTTTTTGAAAAAAAGTGTGGAGCCTTATTTTAAAATTTATTTCTACCATTTTACACTGCGACCAGTTTGTACTCATAACTCATCCATCACTTTTCACATACGTTTATGAAATCATTAATTATAATTAAGGAGCTTTTCAGAATCGAACAATAATAAACTTGATTGCATTTCACTAATCAAACATTATGTCAATACAGAAATTCTGCGAGACCATGGTATACGGCATATCATACCAGAGTATGTATCCCCTGAATTAAGTGACAAGAAAGATATTCAGTTTTTAGATTTGTTTAGTAACAAGGTAATTCGAAATTTAAAAATGAAGACGTTTTGTTTTGAAACATACTGTTTTAAGTGATAGCATTAATAATTCAAAACCTTTTTCAGGACAATAAGCTATATAACACGTTCAACAATTATGTAGAAAAAGGTGCCACATCAAAAGGCTTGACTTTTAACATTTACGATGATGAATTAAGGAATGCTGCCATAGCACTTTTCAGATTATTGACAAACTCCAGCCAAACTGATAAAAATAATTTTGATAAATTAAAAAAATGGGCAAAGGACAACGTTAACGATGATTTGCTGGATTACGCGTTACATCTTACGAACGTTTTCGGTAACACTAATCTGGATGCACAATTCTTACCCCCTTTTATTTATAAACCGAATTTCTTTGTCAGTGGAGACGCTATAATAAAAGCCCTTAAGTACCTTGTAAATGATGGTGAAATCAGTGAGGATATCAAAAAAACATACCAAATTCTGAATATAGACAAAAACACTACATTTATTAATGCAAACTATTCTCTATGTAGTATTGAACAAGAATTATGTAAAGCACAAATTAAATATTTCACAGAAGACGTGGCATTGAACAGTTATTATTATGGCTTACACCTTCTTCATCCATTTTGGATGTCTGACGAAGAGCTCAATAAAGCGAATCCTAATCATGCTGCGAACTATTATTTCGCACATCAACAGTTATTTGCACGGTATCTTTTAGAAAAAGAGAACATAGATCCAAATATTGTATGCATTGAATCTAGTGCCGAACCAAATTTTCAGCCTAATTTATACTACGAAAATGGGCTCCCTTTTCCTACGAGAACTTCAATACTGGGACGTGCTATACGTACTCATGTAACGTTCTTACAAAATATAGACATGACTTTAACGGAATGCATACAAAGAGGAATAGTTAAAGTGGTAAGTGCATTATTTGTTTTTTTTTAGCCCGTGGTAAATTAAAATCCATAGTTTCCGTGAACATGCAAAACTATCCAGTAACATTTGCAATTTATATAAACACATATACCTTTATGCGATTGACATTATATAGGAACACACTATATAATCTCTTATCTATTAGACAAGTCCGTCTGTCTGCGGTGCTGTTTCAGCGGCCAAACCGTAAGAGATAGATAAAGAGAATATTTAAGTTATAAGTTAAGAATAGTCTGATAAGACTACAAACCGGATTTGAGTAACGTAGCACTTCCGGTTTTCGAGAAATCAGGTTTTGGTGAACATTTGGTTCACTGGTTTGCTAGTTCCTATATAATGTAACACATATATATATGCCATCATACAGATATAATAAAACAAAACTTAAATTTTTGTATTTGAACAGGAAAATGGCAGCTGGATAAAGGTGACTGAAGAAAATTCCATGAATCTCGTGGCGAAATTTATTCGATCTGAAATAGAAGATGTTATGGCAGCAAAAATTATCCGTTCCGTATTTGGTTATGCAACGAATGGATACCCGATTCACTTGTTAGTAGACGTTATTATTTTAACTCTTATCTTCGAAGCTTAAATGAAGTTAAATACTAAATGAATAATTTGCAAAACGAGTATATAAAAAAGTATTTTTCTCATAATTGTTAAAAATAATATTTTAGCTGCACAACAACACCGATTAGTAATAGGAAATAGCACTGATAACATGTCAGTGCTAACTAGTTAGTGTTTTAGTAAATAACCCCTTATTTACTAAAACACTTTACATGTTTAATATGCTTTTATATTTTCATTTCAGGTATAATCCTGCACCGTCAGTCATGCATCACCCGCAAACCGCATTAAGAGATCCAGTATCTTGGTATTTGATCAAAAGAATTGTTGACTATTATGTATTATACACAAATAATACTAAAAGTTACGACTTGTCTAAATATGAAAGGAGCGATTACACAATCGCAAACTTAGAAGTTACAAGAATTACGACAATTTTTAACTATTATATGATAAACTTGTACAAGTCTTTCGGTGAGAAAGCAAATCCCGTAAATTCAACAAACATCTTCGCTAGGCAGAGAAGACTGAATCATGAACCGTTCAAAGTAATTTTAACAGTACATTCTAAAATTGAAAAAGATGTTATAATAAGGATTTTTATAGGTCCTGAATGTTCTATAATGGAATGTTGGGATATGCATATTGGATTCTTTCAACTTGATTGTTACCGGTACAGGCTTATTGAAGGTTTTAATATTGTAACTTGGACTCCAGACACATCACTAAGATACTCCTCAGATCAACAATTTAATTATTCTGTCCCTTACGATAGTGTCATAGAAAACTATGACATATTTAAGTTTCCCAAAAACCTTGCCATTCCTAAAGGACGAGAACAGGGTGTTAATTTCACCATGTTTGTAATGATACTTGAAGATGAAGAAAGTCACGATGACTTCAAAGAATCAAGCATATACAAGAAAATAACAGATGAAATAAGCAATAAACCCTTAGGGTTTCCTTTTCACAGGAAAGCGGACATAAAATCAGTGAACGATAACGCTCCAAATTATAAATTTCAAAATATTACTGTATTTCATATTAAAGACCCAGTAGATGATAGTGGCTATTTTTCACCATATTTGTACTGAAAAATGACACAGTATATTAAATTCAATGTAATAAAATATGTTTCAATGTTTAAAAGTATCTATTTATCACGAATTATGGATACCTTTTTTATTATAACAAACATTTTAATTGATGGGGTGGAAGTGTAAATTGCTTCATATTGACACTCACATATTATTAAAGTAACCAAGATTTATGTTAGCGAGAACAATTACGAACAATATAGATATTTTTTAATAAATGCTGATTTACCATTAATGAGTTTTATTTAATGAAAAAAAAACAATACACGCATTTTTTTTTAGATGTTATACCAATTAATCACTCAATACTAATATGTGGTATATAGATATTTAAATCTCTGTTGCGATATTATGAATATTACATAAACTATACACAGTTGCAAAGTACAACTACACTCGGCCGCAAAACTAACGGACGGCACAATCCGTATAAAGAAACACTATAAATAATATGCTTATAGCATTTTGAATTATGAAAAATAACAAATTCTAAATTAAGAAAATACATTTCTTCTGCTTTTGTTTCGAATTGAGCTAAACCGCAAAGAGGATCAAAGCAGGCTCATCGCCACAAGCGGCAAATGTTCTCAAAAGTAAGATGCTTGAACTAGTTATTACTAGGCTCGATTATTATTCTAGAGACCATAGGAATTTGCCGAACATAATACCAACGTGAGGATTTTAGAAAGAACATGACCACTCATAATCAAGGTGGTTATGGCTGATGAAAAGCTATCTCTCATCAGAGCCAACTGTTACCCGGAAGACCAGTACTGCCTTAGTTTTTAGCGCCTACTGGATATATGGTCTACAATTAGCTGCATTTTAGCAACTCTTTGATTTTGATTCATTCAATTTATTTGACAACTTTGTCATTTAACTGGTCTCGCGCCACGCACCACTACCTGGATGCGCACAATTACATGCATCAAGTGTGATTGTCAGGGTTCCCTATCTAACAGGCGATAGTGGCCTCAGCAGTATGTCCATCTTGTGCTATGGTGCAGAGACATTCGTGTACGAGTTGGACTTACACTTGTCCAAATTAATTTAACTTATATTATCTCGTTTGCACAACACAAAACATGTAAATTTATGGCAAATGAAATACGCGATCTAACTAAATTCAATATGATAAAATTACGTCAGTGTCTACTGTGCTATAAAAAGCTATTTTAAATTATAATAAACGTAACTATAATCCAAGAATGTGAAACTATCAAGCAAGAATACCGGCCTTAAAATAATCTGTCAGCATCCCTATTAGAGCAGCACCGATATAGCGTTACCTAGTCTAATTGGATAAACAATTGAATTAAGCAAACATGCAGTTTAAGATGACTAGTACTTGTAGCACGTCATCTTTCTGAAATGACTTGGCTCACAAGATTGTCAATTGGAAAATTGTCCAATTCTGTTTTATTTCCTGAGATTGTACAGTTCGAGGCAGCAGTTCTTTTATTTACTTTTATTTTGGAAACGAGCTGTCAAATTGTCAATCAGTACAAGATTTAATTGTTTAAGATATAGCAGTTTATTTTCAAGCAAAAACGCATCAAAATTTATTATATTTATAAGTATTTTAAGTATTAAACTGCTTGTTTTTCTAGTAAAAGAATCCATACCATATTATATATAAAACATTTTTAGAGCAGGAATCACCTGTTATTTTTATTTGTTGTTGTAACGTCAATAATGGCGGTTCGACAAGAACTTATTAGTAGTACACAAAGCATGTGGGCTTGACGGCATCCCTGCACTGGTACTCAAAATATGTGACCCCGAGCTTGCCCCCTTCATTGCGTGCTTGTATCGTCTTTCTTACTAAAATAACTCCGTTATAGCTTTGTGAAGGTTGCTTATTGAAACTTCTTATGGTGAGTTCCCACATTGTGCTCAGAAAAGTTCCGAGTGGCAAACAACTCGCTTAATGAGGTGCTCAAAACAATGTTGCGTTATTTCCATTGATGACTGAGCAAGAGAGCATTCGTTCCCCGAGTCCAGATGAACATCGTTGTACGAACTCGTTCGCTCGCTCTGATGTTTCAGTTTAAGTCCTGAACAAGCAAATGTTTGCTCATTCAGGACTGAGCTCTTACTGAACAGAAGAACACTGGTCCAGCGGTGTATGACACGTCACCATATGAATGTGGTACAACAAGAAACCCCGAATAGGTAATTTAAGAATAATACGAAGTATTTGTTATGTCCATGTTCCTAAGGATAAAAGAAAAAAAAACACTGATATTGCTGATGGCCATGAGCGACAGTGCCAGTAAACATCAGATGGCTCTTCCTGATGTTAAGTGTTCTACTCGTCTGCATTCGAAAGCAATAAAATGTAAAAGTATAAAAACACACACTCTGATAATATTTTCAACTGTCTATATTAAAAAAAGAAGGTTATGTATTTTTGTTAAAATACATTCAATGTTTAATGTTTTTCTGACTGCTGCAGTAGTAGAAGTGATGAACTTGCTACAATATTTATTTACATGCCGTTCTAAATTTCTGTTAATTTCGTAATCTACTATAGAAAAAAAGAAAAACTACGAACATCCTAATAGTAAAACATTTCACCTATATTATTCTTGAACAAGTCAGTCAAGAATTTAATATTTCACTGTACACGATCATACATAATTACCGCCGTTTAGTGACGAGAGTTACAATTGAACGAGGAGAACTAAATTTAAGTTTGATACACTAACATAAAGAACGTTGCCAAGAAAAGTGCATTGACTATAAATAACAGTGAAATCAGCATAATGTGGTTATGCTTTATGCTATTTGGAATAGTGCTCTCGATTGCAGAGAAAGATTTTGGATCAAAAGAAGGTATTTAATTTATTTACTTAATTAAAGCTTACCATATATATATATATATATATCACAGTTTTCTGACAATTCGTTGTGATACTTTATCATTGTATAGAGAGGAGAATAGCTGCCATATTCATTTTTTCTGAAATCTATATGGGTAACTTTAAATTAATTTGTAGGAGGAATGGACATTCCTCCAACCTGCCAGCGTAGCTCCAAATTGAACACCACTAACGTAAGAAAGGGCGATTAAAAAAAACGACGGGTTGTACTCCGGCAGTGCCGCCGGCAGAAGTGAAAACTTGAATATTAACGTTGTGCATTTTTGATATTTTGGAATGGTTAGGGAATAATTTTGCACGAATTTCTTTAATTATCAGTATAAAAGTACTATCATTTATGTGGTGGAATACAATATTTATTTATTGCGCTATCGTACACAAACATTACAATTTATATTACATTAAAAAAATTATCTTTCAGAAAAATCAACTTACATGAATCACATTTAAACGCACCTAGCGACATCTATTGTAAAAAAAGCATTTTCTTCGCAATAAAACTGCCACCAGGACGTGCTAGTTAGAGACTTATTATTATAATACGATAAAATAAAATATGACTATGTTTCGTCTAATATATTGAAAGTCAACAACCTTTCCAATTTTATTGTTTTCGTCTTACGAATTTTCGATAAGGTCACGGGGTGGCCACTTGACTTTTGAATCACTCATCTGACATAGTATCGTCGAATGCGACATAAGTCACCTTCGACTTTCAAGTCGCATGATACTGATTTTTCGTATTTTTGAATCGTTCGTCACCGATGTTACCAGTTTAATACGAAATATAAAATTTTATTCATTTCACGCAGACTAAATAGAAACCGGTAATTACCGCAATGAAAACGGATCGAAAAATTCTTAGTACATACAACAAAATGCAATTGGTATAATACAATAATATTACCGGCACTTCACTTAGCTGTTCGTGATTGCTGTTTGTAAACTTGACATGCATTAGCCGTCATGCCATAATAAAATAAGAAGAAACTTGACGTCAATCTGCCCTTCATGGATAGATTTATCGTCGTCTAATAGCAAAATAGCAAAGTAAAGTGCCGGCATTTGAAAAATTCAAACGTCACAAAACTCATTTCAAAACAGTTGCTAATAGTTTATTTTACTCAGTGGCTAAATCCAATCACACAAGAAATCTTAATAAGTAAAAGTTTCACTCTAACGTGACGTCTGACACAAATTTGACAATTATTCTATCATTCGCCTCCACCATTCGCCATGCAACGAGTGGTCTCACCCATTCGTTGCACTCGAGCGATTCAAAAATACGGATTTAATTATGTCGAATGTAAATTAGTAGAAATAGAGCGTTCGACGCAAAGCGAGTGATTCAAAAATAGAGCTCCTGGCCATATGTGCTGACGCGAATCAAACAGTTTTTACGTTTTTACCCATTACAAAAAAATGTGTACAACGCCGCTAAAGAAGTTTTCACTTCAAAAATTTTTGTTAAATTTCTCGCTGAATATTATTTTGGTGCAACAACACTATAATAATCCACATAACTTTACACTAAGGAAATAACAGATTTTTAAAGCAAGTGTGGAATTAAATTCTCTGATGTTCCTGAAAATAAAAGCTAACATTCTAGAGACTTATTTAGTGTATTATTGATGTGATTAGTAAATCGCATCTCAGAGTCAGTAATGATTCCTAAATAAGTACGTGTGATTTATTTTCTAATATTGATAGTAACATATTAATAAAATAAAAAATATAACGAATTGTGTTTATTAAACAACATCGATTTGTTTCCTAAAGCAATTAAAATTTTAATACATATTTGGCACTCAAAAAAAATATACAGAAGATCGTTTGTTACTACTGAATTCTTGATGTGACAATTTTTATCTTACAGAAGTCAACTTTAACTACGATCAACATAAAATAACTGGAAATAATAAAGATATATTTATTAAAAATTTACTCAAAGAGGTATTTATTGCAGTATAGGGAAGCATGGTTGTTAGTTGTTGTTGTGATATTTTATTAACAAAGTATTAATAACTGTCATTTGAATATTTTACAAAAACAATAGTTTTTATAAATTATTCAAATTAAAGTACTTAAATTGTGGATTTATTTTCTGTTATTATTCTCAATTTTTACTCTGTCTTTATTTATGACCAATAAGAGTAATGCATGGTTATAAAAACATTTACCTATATGTGTATTTTTGATTATTAAAACAAAAAAAAAACTTTTTTATTTTGATATGTTCCAGGGAAAAGAATACAGCAAAGTCTTTTTGGAGTATGTAAATAATGGCACAACAAACGAAGGGCAAACTTTTAACATCTACGAAGATGACATGAGAACGGCCACAATTGCATTATTTCGAGTTCTGTTGGATTTTCATCACAATGATAGAATTAAATATGAAAAATTATTAGATTGGGCAAGACATAACATAAACAGTGATATGCTAGATTATGCTAAACGTCTAGTGACGTTGATCAGTGAAGATAATATCGAAGAAAAATTTTTGCCGCCATTTATTGCCAAACCGAATTTCTTCGTTAATGGTGAAACCATACTTAAGGCGTTATACGTCAAACGAAATAAAGGAAAAATTAGTGACGATGTTATGAACATTTACCAAATTTACGATATTGATAACAATATCATAGCTATCAATGCAAATTATTCCCAATGGAACGGTCCCTTCGACGCATGTGATAAAAATATTAAATATTTTACGGAAGATGTAGCACTGAATAGCTATTATTATGGACTACATCTTTTACACCCATTTTGGATGAGCAATGAAGAATTAAGTGAGCTGAATCCTCGGCATGCTGAACATTACTATTTCGCCCATCGGCAACTCTATGCCCGTTACTTATTAGAGAAAAATCATTTAGATACAAGTTTAAAGTTGCAAGATGAAACGTGCACTTTTGATAACTGTCCTTACTTGTATTATGAAAACGGACTTCCATTCCCTACGAGATCTTATCTTATAGGACAAGACATTAAATATGACGTGGCGTATTTAAAATCCATTGATACGGCTATTAAAGAGTGCATTCTTAGAGAAATGGTTGTCATGGTAAGCACAGAGTATTTCAAGTCCAAATTCACATTTTAATTGCGAAATAAAATTTATTTTTTCAATATGTAAATAACCTACAAAAAATGAAAACTTTAATGCTTCCTGAACCCCCGTGGAATTTTCTCCAGTATAATTTCCTTTAGATTTATGCATCTAGCATTTAAATGCTTAAAAATGTAAAAATTAACTTTTATGATATTTGTAAGTCAATCACGCAACAATTCCTAAAAAGGTTTTGATGAAAGTTAGCAGATATATAATTAATACCTTGAATAAGACATAAATACCTTTAATTTAAAAAAAATATGTTATCTAACAACTACTAGTAACTTCTAATAATTCTCGGAATGATTTCCTAAAATGTGTTTTCCATTACAGAGTCAAAGGGTTTTTGAATTTGAAAGTGCAGACTAAATCTTAAAATCTTTGTTATTTTTGTTATTGTGATTTAAAATTTCAAACAGTACTAAAAGAACAAAATTACTTAGGTTAATATACTAGGAGAGTTGTTTCAGTATAAGTTATATTCGTGATGATTTACAGGAGAATGGAACGTACATCAGGATAGATGATGATAATTATATAGATCTTTTGGCCAAGCTCATTCGAGCTAACTTCGATGGAATAAAAGCAGCAAAAGTAATAAGATCGCTGTTTGGATATGGATATAATGGTTATCCCTCTGACAAGTACGTAACACAAAGTTAATATTTAGTTCTGCCTGAATTTATTTAGTGTGAACGCTTACTTACTTCTTTATAATTGTGATATATAAAAATTGATTATTATTTTTCAAACTGACTTAGGACCACTTGCACCAGATTTTTTAATTAAAAAGCATAATCATATTGAAGCTTATTTTTTTCTATATTTGACTTCAAACATCTGAAAAAAAGTGGACGATGTCTTTAACACGATTAAGAATAAGATTTCAGTTGCACCACAATAAATAAAACTAGTTTTTAACGGGTTAATGCACGAAACTTTATTTATTAATTGACGTTTCGCAGCCTACTTGAATAGTTTACGGTAGTTAGGGTCAAATAGATTTAAAGAATTTTAAATTAAGTACTTTATTAATTAAATTATCTAATAAATTCATACATAGACAATAAAATTTTAGAAATCTTCCAATGAAATAACCGAACGCTCAATAAAAGTCTTTCGAAGGTAGCTCGACAAAATTAAATAAAAAATCATTATTCTGACGATGCAGACCTGAAAAGGCTGAGATACGTCAATAAATAAATAAAGTTTCGTGCATTAACCCGTTAATAACTAGTTTTATTTAACGAGTGATGTGCGTGAAAACCTAAGAAACAAATATGCACCACAATAGTAACTGTGGTGGTCCTAAATCTTTACTTTTATACTAATACTAGTGGCCCACCCTCGCTTCGTTTCAGTGTTGACTGTAGTTTTTGCTCTCAAGCTTGTATTATACATATTATATAAACCTTCCGTGAAAAAATGTCCAATTCATATTTAAAATTTTGTTGCGTAATTGTGGGACACGTAGTACCGAATGCATCATAGCTTTGCTATTAAAAAGTTTGTCCCTGTTACCATTGCTACACCCTTATCTATTAATAAACATATCTAGTGATGCAGTATTTGGAACTCACTCATAGTTACTACACTCGTGATGACTTTTGAATAGTATCTTTCAAAAAATTTACGGATACTGATATAGTCTTGAATGATCACCAGCCTATTAATGTCACTACTTCTATGGCACAGGCCTTCCCTATGACTGGAATAGGGAGATGGGGCTATGACTTAGCACGCGAAACCAGTGCGATGCCAACGACTGCAGATGCAGCCGGGACCACCGGCTTTATCTGCATTATTGAAGTTTTCATACAAATCCCTAAGTTTTTTTAAAATATACTATAGCCATCAGGGATAATGTAGAATTCTAAATTTGAAAGATTTTATAAAATCGGTCTAGTTGTTTCTTTATAACATTACTAAATGAGTCAGCGAACTTCGTACCGTCATAAAAATAGGGGTTGGTGGTGGAAAGGTGAAAATTTTGGGTTGTATGTATTTTTGTATGATGTATCATAAAAAAATAAAAACAAAAGTTTTGGCCAGAAAAGATCTTAATGTTGGACCAGCCTTAACATTTACGGAGATAAAAAATAAATGTTGATGACCTACTGAATATGCATAAAAAAATTACGAAAATCGGTCGAGCCGTTTCGGAGTAGATCAATTACGCACACCGTGACACGAGAATTTTATATATTAGATTATTATAGTGTAGTTTAAAAAGTGGAAAGATTTGTATGTTTGTAACAAATAAACTTAAAAACTTCTAGACCGACTTCCTAATTTCTTTCACGATTAGAATACCACACTTTCCCTGAGTAACGAAAGCTATTATCACGATTAAATAAAATTTACCTGTACGGATCCAGAGCGGATGGTTAGTTCTTGATATATTTAATTTTGTTTATTTATAATATTTTGTTATTTCTAAAAATAATTAACTTTACAAATCTTCAAATGCAATCTAAAAGTAACTTTTGAACTATACTTTTTACGATTTGCAGAGCCAATCCTTCTCCATCGCTATTAAACCATCCACAAACGACACTACGTGATCCTGTTTACTGGATTCTTATACGTGAAGGTCTAGGATATTTCTTAAAATACACAGATAAGACGGAGCCACTCAACATTTCTACATACGAAACCGACGAATTTTTCATATCTGACGCTAATTTCTCTAGACTGGCAACTAATTTTGATTACTTTCTTTTTAATTTGTATAATTCACTAGAAAGCGACCCACTAAATTCTACTGTTAAACCATCTCTTAATATTTTTGCAAGACAAAGAAGACTTAATAATGAACCATTTATATTAAACTTTACAATAGAGTCTAAAACACAAAAAGAAGTCTCGATAAGTTTGTTTTTAGGTCCTAATTGTAATTTGGGCACTTGTCACGAGATGTATATTAGATTTTTCCAACTTGATTGTTATAGGCATAAACTGAGGGAAGGCATTAACAGGGTAACTTGGACTCCTGATATGTCTTCTAGATATAATGACTATGATGAGAAAAAGTTGGTGGATTTTAATAAGGAAACAAATTATGACATTTTTAAATTTCCAAAGAACTTAATAATACCAAAAGGAACGGAACAAGGTCTTAACCTAACATTGTTCATTATGGTACTTGATGAAAAAGAACTAAGCGATGTTTCTTCAAATTTTAGAAAATACAATAAAATCATCCGTGAAGTTGACACTAAACCGCTAGGGTTCCCATTCCACAGAAAGGTTGATATATTTAATGGATCTGCTTCAAATTATAGATTTTTTAATATTACGATCTTTCACGATCACAGTTACCCAGACAACACCGGCTTTTTCTCTTCATATTTGTATTAGTTTAGCCCATTTATTATTGATTAACATATTTCAAAAAATAAACATATCAAAGCTTTTTTCATTGATATTTTACTAATCACGGTTTATTAATTAGAAGTCTTTTATGCAACTGTCTTAAAGTTAAAGGTTAAAAAACACGTAATGTGGGTTTTGGGGATAATAATATGGTAATAGAAACTTAAATAGTATCACAGGGGTGTTTTTATACCCGATTATAATACAGTTGCATGCAAGACTTTATCTACACCCATGACCCAAAAAATGTTTGTGAATAATAAATTAAAAGATCACAAGATGTTACAGTGTTACAATACAACTGTGCATACATTCATCTTTGTTCTGTTTCCAAAATTACATGCGTTGTGGTGATGGGTAAAAGGCGCGTGCATGAGAAATTCATCTGGATTTAAATGTATTAAGTTACCAATCTTAATCTTAACGCGCCGCACGCGCCCAATGCTCCACATTTCCATATCTATAGCTATTTTATGGCTATAGCCTTTACGAAATGCGACACGTACGGTGCTGGTGATGTATTTATAATTAATTGAGTAGTTAAACTATGACTGGTTGATGAGTAAATCCTTTTTCCCGATGAGATGACTGTTTAAGAGCCGAAATGATTAAATATTAATAATAGAGCCGTAATTAAGTAATAATGATTATCTTAATGTCTTTGTTAAACTATAAATAATCAAAGTTTTACGGGGTTTCATTGGATCTATATTATATGTATATAGGCTGTTTCTTCTAGGGTGCCAAGTCAGTGCGAGCTGATAGTGGAGTACCATACAATTATAGGTATGGTACTACGCTACGAAAAATCGTAGAACGTATCCATGTACGTTCTATGATTTTTTGTAACGGAGGCAGTTTTTAAAATTCGTCAGAAGTAATACAACATTTTGTTTTATTTTAATTGAAAATCAGAATAGATTATCAATTAAAATAAAAAAAAATGTTTTACTTAAACCATTTTTATTTAGTATCGATCATTTTTTTTATATCTTAGGTTAAAGTAAGGAAGGAGATTATTTTGCTTATAAAGCTACAAACAATAGGCACTCTGTTAAAAAAAATTGAAGAAAAGTCGACCCAAAAAAAGTTATACTTTTTTAAGTTGTCTCATCGTTGAATCGTTAAAAATGACAATAATCGACGAAAAATCGTAAAACATACATGGGGGTTAAATTGATAGGTATGGTACTCCGCTATCAGCTCATACTGGCTTGACACCCTAAAAGAAACACCCTGTATATATATTTTATGTCTTTGTTATAGTTGAATCTAATAAATACAAGGGCAATTATTATAGATTTATGTACAGTAAAAGAAGGTTTGTAATTGATTTAAAATTTATTCGGGTTTCTATAATGCTTAATCATATTAAGTATTAACTTAGTGCTTAGTACTGTCGTTGCTATGAGCTTCGATTTCGGTGTAGTTTGGGTATTCGCTACCTTTCTGGTAAACAGTGACGTCTTGTATGTACATGTTAGGTTGCATGAAGTACTCTGGTACTGGGCGGTCAAATGGATAGCCAAGAGGCCTCTCATCTAAGATGAATGTATTCTCATTTTGTAACGCTTTGGGCACGCCTTGACTCTTGTAGACAACAACGAAAACTTGGAGAGGGAAACCACTCTTTGTTCCTCTCGGCAGCATAAGCCTTTTAGGCAAGTCATCGTATTTATAGACCATTTCAGAAGGCACTTTACCGTTTCCTAATTGCTTGTAGATTTCACCAATAGGTACAGAGTCTTCCTTATAGAAGAAGAATTCTTCGGAGTTGCGCTCAATGACGTTCTCGCCCTTTGTGATAGTCTGTGAGAACCAGTCCATTTCCACGAAGTTCATCCAGTTGTCTTCCAATGCAACTTCATTACCGTAACTATCATATTTTGGACCAATGAAGATCTTGAAAGAGGCTTGATCCGCGACTTCAGATTTTACTGAGAATTTAATTTTGAATGATTCGTGGTTCAACCTTGGTTGGACGACCATATATTGTTTCTGCTGGCCGACAACTCCGTTAGTAGGATAGACAGCGCTGGTTGCGTTAAATGCACTATATTCAAAGAAAGTGTGCAAATCGCTTACTTCAACTTTGTTAATCTTGACACCGACATAATGAAGATCTTCTTGGGAGTAAGATGGCAAGTATTTCTTGTATTGGGCCATAAAATGCCAAATCTTGTTGTAAATTTGATAGAATGCGGGGTCACGCATAGCTGTTTGATAGAAGTCCAAGGCGGAGGGTACGAAATCATATCTGAAAGAAAATATCAAGTTGTTTCACTTTCAGAATCATAAATTTTTACCCGACTGCAAAACAAGAAGGGTGGTATCATTCTAGTACATTTGTATATTTCTTTAGGATACTCCACTACCTAAACGGCTCAATGTACATGAGATTGTTAAGCATCGTTAGAGTTACCCTAGTTATGAAAATAAAAGTAGGTATGAAAATAAAAAATATATAACAATAATAAATCTAACTTTCTAATAATTAATATACTTTTCAAAGTTTAAAAATCAAAGAATAAAAGTTAATTATTTGGAAGTTCATAACAATCATTGCAGTTGTAAGAATAATCATTGGACTAACTTTATAATCTTAAAGGTCTGTCGGCTATTATAATATTTATAGTTTATATTATAGTTCGTTTTTTCTTTAACATTAGTTATTTTCTCATAATATTATTGTTATATTCTAGTAAATTATTTATTCTCATAGTGTTGAACTTACTCGTTGTAGGTAGGCGGAGCACCACCAATGATGCGACGAGCAACAGCCTCGTAGGAATTGTAGTAGTTACGGCGAGGAGAAATCTTGTCGTACAAGTCAGGATTAGCTTGCCAGTAGTTACCAACGAAGTTTATGGCTTTCTCATCGGAAAAGTCGACTTGTTGATTGAACTGAAAACAAAATAAACAGATATTTTATCTTTCTTTTAAATGCAGCATAAAAGCAAAATTTATACACAGATAACTTACGGCAGTGAATTGGCCTTGCTCGACGAAAGAAAGGAACATGTCTTCGTAGTTACGAACGAAATGGAGATCGTCAATATTATTTTCGTTTTGCATGATATAGTTATCACTTCTTTGTGCGAAAGGTACGTATTTAAAGGTCATCGAAGGACGATATCCCTGTTTCAGCGGCTGATACCAAGAGAATTTTGGGATCTCACCCATACCGTTTGAAAGTCTCTCAAGATAGTAGCGAGCCAGTACTTGTTGATAGAAATGGTAGTACACTTCGCCACGACGTTCTTTGAAGACTCCATGCGCGATTTCGTCACCGTCTTCCCAGAATGGCATGGCAATATGGAAGTAGCTGTAGAACGCATTCCAGCCGATATCTTCAGTGAGGTATGCTAATTTCTGTTCCTCACCGTATGTGTGGTAATCAGAATAATTTTGGTAATAGTAGTAATGATCGCCTTCTTGGTAAATGCCGTACTCAGGATATTCTTCGAATGGTTCTCCTCGCATCCTACCATAATACATCTTGACCATGGTTTCATAATTTACATAATATTGTGGCATACTTTCATAGAGGGCAGGTATAATTAATCCCATAGTATCAGCGCGATGCATAATGGCGACGGTGAATGTATAAGCGAACATCCCTTGATTAACATGTGCCCGCGCCCATACAGCTGAGTTGAAGAAGGTGTCAAAGTCTTTGGCATAGTAGAACACATCATACAAAGCTTTGGTTTGCTCTCTGATTTTCTCATTGAAGATGTTGAATACATTATTTTTAGGAAGGAAGTCTTTCTGGTACATGCTTAGGAATTTCTCAACCACCTCCGGTTTCTGCAAAGAAAAATAAATGATATTTAAATATTTAACACTCACACCGATTAGCCTTCCCCCTAAAAGCATTGTTAAGGCTTGTGTTAAGGGATACTAGTGTGACGGAGAGAATACATACATATTATAAGTATATGTACCTATTAATATGTTTAAACATCAATTTTTTAGATAATGCTCGTATTCATCATACTAACATTTGCCCCACCGGGATTCGAACCCTTTCGAGTAGGCGACACCTTGAAATCTGGCGTATACTAAATATTTGACAGTATGGTAAATATATATGTTTTTGAAGTCACTTTCCTTTAAAAATAATAGCAAATATATAAAATAGCTCAATCTGATTTTCTCATCTTATTGCGTAATCCTGTACTCGACTATGGTCTATAAAAGGTTGTGCTGCTATTCGAAAGTCTCCCTATTGATAGAAGAGATGGTTGTTATAACGTTATTAAAAAAACTCATTATTTCAAATATTTTACATAATTGAAGGTATAGTAATATAAGTTATTTACGGGATTGTTACCATGTACCACTGACACACAGTTACTCCGTGATCATGGCGCTTGCAACAGTGCCGAAATATCGGAAACTCGCTAAAAACAAGGTACATGGTAACAATCCCATAAATAGCTTATATTACTATAATGTTAGTGACCATGAAAGTTTAAAACAATATAATTGAAGGTATGTTCAACTTACTTCATATTTGGTAGCATGTGCGCTGATGTCATAGTCCTTGGTATGTGGGTAGTTTTCGTAAAAGTTTACCACATCGAGGTTTTGTAAAAGCTCCAGGACTTTGTACTGACGCGCTAAGGTAGGGGCATCAACTGAAAAAATATATACATAGATAACAAATATGCAACTGCCGGTCACGGGGTTACAAAATACAGCGACTAAATAGTACGACATGAAAGTTACACAAATCAGAAAGGAGATTGATAAACATTGCAATTGCAGGTTTGTTTAGTTTGACTTCTATTGAAATATATTTCATTTTGTATATAGATGGGGTTACTTGTACCAACATTGTTAAATCAAAATACCGCTTAATCAATGATGATGTTATAGAATATCATTCCATCTTTGCCAATGATTTACAAATAGAAATAGAACGACATTGAAATATGATTAAATTGTGGATTTGAATAAAGAACTTTGGTGTAAGTGGATCTCAAACATTATGAAATTATCGTAAATAACAATTTTCTTACCAGCCACAGTTTTTACATTGGCGTAGTCGTTGACTGGTGGGATTGTCCCGGCCAAAGCCAAAGACGCCACAGTTGCTAGTACCAGGACAGTCCTCATCTTGCCAGCGTTGGAAGACAACTGTACCGGACACATTATTTCACCTACTATTTATACAATATTTCTTATCAGTCACCAATTCTGTTTCACCAAAATCTCATACCTACAAGTAAAAAAATTACGATGACATAATATGTTGGGCCGTAAAGATCTGTTAATATCAAATTGCTGCCAGAAAGCTATTCACTTCATTCGAGCCAAAAGAGGCCTAATAGATATTTAATGAAATCCAATGATATTACATATACAAATAGAGGAGAAATTTAACAATGAATTGTAGGAGAATAGCATACACTAATTTAAAATGGGGTCTTAGAAATGATGCTTGTGTTTTGGCATAGAGACAGGATAAAATTGGTAAGTATTAATATCATAGTTTTTATTTGAAGGGGACAAATCTTAATTGTTGCATTTATTAAAAATAATAGTAATGTTTATTATAAAAAATAAACCACTATTTAGTCGTAATGGATTACAAAGGGACTGACTGTGTCAAGTAATCTATAAGAGTCGGTAATTCCATACTAGTCCTTGTCCCGAATTAGGTGTGCCTTTTATACCAACAATAATTAAAAAAATAACATAATACCAACATACGTAGGAAACGACAAAAAACTGATATTCCTTCTTACAAGGTATCGAAAATATAGTGATGTACCTTACCAGATATCGATAAAAAATAATGCTACGTGATAAGGTACTCGTAAATCTTAAATATTTCCTTCCTTGCGAGTAAAGTTCACTTGCAGCAACTTTGCTAAAATTTCGATTTCACTAAAACTAGATTTCATCCATAGAAAAACGTCAAAACTTATGTCCACTTGTCATTATATAGGCTAAATCTAGATTTAGTTTAATAGAGATTTGCAAAATTTCTGCAAGTGAAGCTAACAGCAATAAATTCCAACACAGCACGCCAATCAATTACACATTTACTCGGTAGAAAATAAATTACAATATTAAGTAATCTGTCAAAAAAAATCGAGATTTTCCCTCCTGATGATATGCTGTAAATGGATTATTGCCTAATTTTCCATTCTCTATCGTTTTCTTTAAATAAGACAGAATTTAACAGTAAATCAATTTATTCAAAACAAGGATCTAAATAAATTATAGTCTGGCCTGTGCTGACCTTGTAGCACTGGGAAAGTGAAAAAACTACGCCATTGGTTCGCAAACAGATCCATGTGATAATGAAGTATGAAGTCATGGCAGTTGATAACAGTTGTGGTATAGTGGTGGCCAGACAAGGAAGAGTGGAGAGGTCCTTCTATCCAGCGGATCAGCGTATCTCTTCCTTAGGTTGTCACTCGAGAAAACAAACTCCTGGAAATTTCAGAATTTTGATATAAAGGGAACGTGCACAACGAACGTGCTGCCTACTGGCATAGCCAATCCAAATCTTGTACTCTATTCAAAAAAATGATTTATTTCTTTACCATACATCTGGTTACATTAAAGTAAGGCGCTTTTTTTAATTGTAAAGACACCTGTACCAATGTATTAATAGTTGACATTGGAATTTGTAACAAGTAAACAGAATTAATTTTATTAGTAAAAATTATAATTCTATGGAGATAATCAAGATTTATCAATACATCCACGAAAATGAAAATAAATCAATTTGAGCAAAATTTTATTCCTTTCCAAAGAATAATAAGTACTGATAATGGTTTACCACATTGTTGGGAATTGCTATTTTTGGATTTGACGCTTTCAGAAGAATTTACCTAAATCACTAAAGTACAGATGTGCTTACATTTTCCTGAGGGGCCAGCCTTGCATTTACAAATTTTACTTGCAATGTTTATGTTGCAGTTAAGCTGAAAAAATGAAAACATAAATAAAATTACCTGTAAATATTTTAAAATATACAGACGAAAAAAATTGTACCAGAAAAGAATCGAAATTGGTTTGATTCCTACTGATTAGAATCAAACTAACGTTCTTGATTATTTTTTTTATCAAGCATTTAACTGCTAGTAGATCTTCAAATCTTAAGAAAACTTTACTAGAAAAATTTCCACGCGTCAAGGCAGCTGTAGATTTAAACATCTAGCAGTTAAATGCTTAAATAATAAAAAATATAAATATAATTGCTATTTATAATTTTTATTTTTTAAAGCATGTAACTGCTTGATGTTTCAATCTAAAGAAAATATAACTAGAAAAAAATCCACGCGGACCAGGCTCCAGACGGGACTCGAACCCGCACCCTTCGCAATCCGGGCGAATGCACTGACCAATTTTGCTACCGCGGCTTTTTCTAGTTATATTTTCTTAAGATTTAAACATCAAGCATTTACATGCTTTAAAAAATAAAAATTATAACTATAATTGCTATTTCTTCCTCCAAATGTTTAATACTTGTAAAAGTATTCATTTGACATTATGGGTTACCTATAATGCGAAGAGATGGCGCTGCCTTGCAGCTTAAGAATGGCTGAAGAAAAATCAACTGTCTGATGGCTGTGATGGAAAAATCCTACACATTTTTGGCGTTGCCCCCATCCGCCAAGTCTTTACCGTCCTAAAGGGAAATTTGATCCAATAATAAAAAATTTAGTTTCATCATTTCATGATCTTCTTAAAATGCAAAATCTTCTTAAATTAAGGAAAAAAATATTCTTATGATTAACCCTTTCGATGAATATCATAAAATATAAAATGTGTATTTTTTTTAATTTCACGAGTTTGATTCCCAGATGTTGCTAGTTATTATTAAAAATAAAATGATGTCTTCTTTCAGTAAAATATCCTATATTCAATATTTAATATACTTTCCCTCTGTGTGACAAACCCGTGGGACGCCCTGTAATATCCGAAAACATGGTTTTTATTCGTTAGAAAATATTTATCTCGTTATAAATAAATTTGAGGAGTAACTATTGAACCAGACCCATTTAGATCTCACTTCTTTTGCCGTAGAAGTCAAAAACCAAGGTATATCATAATATTGAACTCGGCTCTCATTTCACTTTTTTTTTGATAGGATCTATTTTCATCGCAAACAAGGTACATATAGGTAAGGTACATATAGTTAAATCAAACTTAGTAAATTGACGGCTCTTAATAAGTATGGCGACAATACCTCTATTTCAAAAGCTTTTATTTAACTTGCAATGCATGTATGTATTTTTGTATGTATGTTTGTTTTATTCATTTAAATAAATTATAAATTTTGTTTCTTACTCCCCTGGTTACCTGTTATCTCTATTAAAATATATACCTATGTAGTTTGACCCCCGTGATTAGGTTCGGAGGTCATCGTTCACTTGAGAGATAATAATGTAAAGACAAACAGCACGCTTTGCTGTTATTTGTTGGTAGGTCTTTATCTGAGAAAAGCCAAATGAAAAATGACAAATGTTATCAACTTGTAAAACGAAAATATACTTAGGGAGTATAGGAATATGTCTTAAGGTAAAATTTAGGACTTTACAATGTGTGAAGCCTCATGATACTTGATCCAAATTATTATAATAGTATTCGACGACGCATCCTTTACAGGATGCGGAATGTCAATAAATAAATCAATCAATCAGTGCATCTATATCATTGAAACTTGTTTTATTTTATGACTGGTGTGTGTGCAAAAGCTAAGAAACAAATAGTTATACATTAATTGTTCACCTACATTTTGATAGCTGTGTTATACAGTATAAATGCAAATAGTGTTATTTATATTAGATATAACTAGATAAACTATGTAAAAGCATAGAAATTAGAGCAGACTCGCCTTCGCTGACATCACAAGTTCACTCTCATGACACATGAATAAGCCATAGCTTCGCTCAAAATGCCTATGCTTACTTTAAATCGTAAATTGATAAGTTGTGAACTTCGTCGTGTCGTGTCCTACTCTGCGGCATTAAAAAAATTGTAAATAACTTTGAAATGGAAGACGGTAACAATCTACTAATCAGTTCGCATCTCAGTACCGATATACTAGCACTTAGATTTCACTCATACTGAAAATCAATTGTTAGAAAGAAATGCATTTGCTAGGCTCTCCATGATATTTTTTTTTTATATAGATAGGTCCGACAAATGACTTCACCCCACCTGATGTTAAGTGAAGGTGAAGTCCAGACGCGAAGATAGCTGATACAGCAGTTTTACCTGCCACACCAGCCATCCTCACCCTGCCGGCCTGCATGTTGCTTCTTCACGCCTCTTTTAAAGGATCCCAGGTTGTAAGAGGGAGGGAACACGTGAGCGGGCAGAGCATTCCATTTACGGATAGTGCGACAAAGAAATGAGTCACCAAATTTCTTTGTACGCGTTGGAATTGTGGTCACAGTAAAATGGTGACAACGTAGGCCAGCGCGCGTGGTCCTCTGAAGGAAAGGGGAAGGTGGGATAAGAGAGAATAACTCCTCAGAACACTCACCGTGGTACAAACGATAGAACGCGCTTAGTGACGCCACGTCACGGCGTAATTGAAGAGGCTCAAGGTGTTTAGTCACCTCCTCATCGCCTATGATGCGGATCGCGCGCCGCTGTAACCTATCCAAAGCATCGAGCAAGTACTTGGCGGAGCCATCCCAGAGGTGCGAGCAATATTCCACGCAGGACCGCACTTGCGTTTTGTACAACAAGAATAGTTGATCGGGCGTGAAAAAACGCCGCACCTTGTTCAGGGCTCCGAGTTTGCGTGAAGCTGTTTTGATCACGGTTTCGATGTAGTCCTTTGGATTCAGGTCTGAGCGAACTTCCATACCGAGCATGGAAATGTTGCTCTGCAGCGTGTTGTGCCCTGAAGAGATGGAAGGGGAAGGAATGGCGATGTTTTTGCCGTGAAAGCACAAGCCTGAGTTTTCTTGGCATTGAACTCAACCAAGTTCCTGGTACCCCATTCGGAAAAGTGGTCCAAAGCCTGATTGAGCTCAATGACAAGATTTTCCCGTTTCTCCTTGGTTACTGCCTGCCCAGCCGCTGCTTGTCCGAGATACCCCGCATGCACTGTACTGTCGTCTGCATAGCAATGAATATTCCCAAGAGGAATTAAGTCATTGATATGCAGCAGAAAGAGAGTGGGGGATAGGACGGAGCCCTGGGGAACGCCGGCATTCACTGACATGAACCGCGAACTGCTACCATCCGTAAGGACACGAATTCTACGCTCATGCAGGAAGTCAGCTACCCAAGAACAGAACTGGGCTGGCAGACCGTATGCCGCAATGTCAAGGCTGATAGCCAACGACTCGCCACGCTTGTCGATAGCCTCACCCCAGATATGAGTTAAGTACGCTAGAAGATCACCCGTCGATCGTTTCGGTCTAAAACCATATTGACGATCATTAATCAGCGAGTGATCCTCTAGGTAGCGGGTCAGATGGTTATTAAGGACCTTTTCTAGAACTTTACATAAAACTGAGGTGACTGCTATTGGCCGGTAGTTTGCCGGGTCTGAGCGATCCCCTTTTTTGGGCAACGGTTGCACGTTAGCATCTCTCTAAGTCTCCGGCACACGCCCCAAAGAATACGAGCATTGGGACAAGCGCGTGAGCACGGGAGACAACTCCGCTGCACATTTTTTAAGTACTATTGCTGGGATGCCATCAGGTCCACTAGCTTTCCGGACGTCGAGTAATTGCAATTTGGCAGGAACCTCACGTTGCCTGATTTTAATATCAGGCATCGTTGTGCCACAGTGAGGTAATGATGGTGGCAGTGCATTGCAATCATCGATTCGGGAGTTAGTCGCAAAGAGTTTTGCCAGTAAATCGGCTTTCTCCTGCGGCTTATGAGCTAGTGTTGCGTCTGGGCATCTCAGAGGTGGCAGCGTGGGCTGGCAGAAGTTTTTTTGCACGGCCTTGGCCAAACGCCAGTAGCTACGGGAGCCCGCAGGATGCGTTATAAGTTCCTGGCCAACACGTGCAACACGCTGGGCATCCGCTCTGATGTAAGCCTTCTTACAGGCCTTGGAAGCAGAATTGTAGGCTGCTTTGAGTGAATCGACCCCGGGATCCTTGAGAGCGCGGCCTCTGATCCAAGCACGATATGCCGCTTGCTTACGCGAAGCAGCTTCAGCACAGTCGTGATTGAATCAGAGGTCACGTGTGCCCTTACTGATGAGATCAGAATGAGGAATATAGTATTCCATACCCATTATAATCTCCTCAGTAATGGCAACGGTACTGCCCGATAGGTCCCTGTCACTGAAGCAGCGCTGCCTCCAAGGGACGGACGCAAAGTAATCGCGCATACCGACCCAATCTGCCGACCCATAATGCCAGATACGGCGCTTGACCACTGCTGGACGCGGAGGCTAGGCCTGTGGCGCTTTGGCAGATATCAGGCAGTGGTCGGACGAGCCCAGGGGGCCTCTTACCACAACCTGATAGCCCTGTGGATGAGTCGTGAGCAGAAGGTCCAGTAAAGAAGGCGCTTTACTTGGAATATCTGGGATCCTGGTGGGCTGATCAACCAGTTGCTTCAAGTCATGAGTGAGAGCGAATGTGTGAGCAGAGATCCCTGCATGGTCAGTTTTGGAAGAACTTAACCACAAATTGTGGTGAGCATTAAAGTCCCCCAAAAACACCAATTCTGCATTGGGAAATTGTTCCTGCGCGTCATCTGCTGCCCGACTAAGGTGCTCAAAAAGTCAAGCTGTCTCAACATCGCCGGTCTGGGATCTATAGAGGCACACGTAGACTCTGGCCAGGGGACCAGAGTCGACGTGTACCCCCAGCATAGAGAAGGAGGGATCTTCCAAGCAGCGGAGACGGCGACAACAAACATCCGCCCGAACATACAGGCATACACCGGCTTTCGCTTTGAAGGACTCTTCAAGCACGTAGCCGGGATAATTAAGGTAGCCTGTGTCAGCAGGCGGAAGTATTTGTGTCTCTGTCAGGAACAACAATGTTGGCCGTGCTGTCTCGAGATGGTGGTGGACAGCGTTGAGGTTAGAGTGGAGTCCGCGTATGTTGCAGAACTCGACCTCAAACAGCGTTGAAGGCGTGGGGGTGTGCACCGCTGTACGTCCAAACTTTGCTATTGAGGCTGCCATGATGGAAGTGAAAAAAAAAGAGACGCGAAAACGAGCGGACGCCGTCGCGAAGAGTCCGTGCAAATAAGGGAGGTTTGCTTTCCCGATTGACTGCCCGTAGAGGAGATGCGCCGACCCGCCGGACGGAAGGGACCCCGCACTCCCCCGGGAGTGGCCGGCGGGACCCCGGTCATACAATACATGTACTATATCACTTACGGCAATTTCATTTTCATAGAAAATACCCGCACATCCGCAGTAACCAAACAGTTTTCAAATATCAAGATCAACGCTCTCCTGTAGAGTTAACAGATTCTGGGATAGCATCACTTTCAAGAAATTACATAAATCTATCTTTATATATATAATTCTTCTGTGAGTGTGTATGTCACTGAACTTCTCTTAAACGACTGGACCGATTTTGATGAAATTTTTTGTGTGTGTTCAAGGGGATCTGAGAATGGTTTAGATTCACAATTTTGTCCGCTGGACAACCCCTATTTTTTTAGGGCAGTACGAAGTTCGCTGGGTCAGCTAGTATTATATAAATCAATTGCTGTTCGTTAGTCTCGCTTAAACTCGAGAACGGCTAAACGGATTTATCTTATCTTGGTCTTGAAATGTTCGTGGAGGTCTAGGGAAGGTTTAAAAGGTCAGAAAAATAATTATATAAAGAAATTCATTGTGTATAATACAAGCCTGAGAACAAAAACTATAGTCTACCTACACTACAGCTCTACACCGAAGCGAAGGGAGGGCGGGCCACTAGTAATAAATACATAAATATTTCTAACAATCACACCAATTAGCCAAGCTACAAAGTAAGCACTGTAAGGCTTGCTTGACTTTTGAGATGCTAGGGTAGCGGATACAAAGCATACTATCTAGCATTTAGTTCCTATCTTTTATTATTATCCTACGAGTATGTTTTATTACTATTACCATTTTGTTTCTCTTATTTCATGCTGTGAAGGCTGTAAAAGAATAAAATGTTTATCTTTCTTACATAAACTGATACATAAATATTTTAATCCAGAAATACATTTGAAGATTGCCCCGTACCATTGCTCGTATTCATCATGCAAACATATTTTGGCCTAAGGGGATTAAACCCGGGGACTTTGAGAAGGCGATACCTTGAAACCCGGCGTATACAACTTTGCCACGTCGTCAATATAATATATCTAATACGTACGATTCTCGTGTCATAGTGTTTGTAACAAAACTCCTCCGAAATGGCTTGACCGATTCTTAGGATCAGAATAGGACGTAAACTACTTTTCATGCCCTTAAGTGATAAGAGCCATCTCCCTCAAAATTGTTTTTATTTTTTTGGACAAAAAAATAAATATTACATTTTATTTATTTATATAATGGCTCTACTGAGAATAATCGCATTTTTTTATTAAGGTAAACTTTAAGGTTAACAATAAGTTTCATCATTTCGGTCGACCAGACTAAAGGACAATAAAAAAAAACAGCTTATCGCCACCACCGTCCTACTGATACAAGGTTAAGCTCAATAGTCCGGGTCACGTGTACAATCACAACTAGGGACTGGGACTATGCAATGAAGAATCCGATAGCGTAGCCGTAGCCCGTTAAATCTGCGTACGAAAAGTCCCCAGACAACAGGGACGGCAAAAGACTGGAAAGGAGAAAAGTACGAGGGACTCTCCAAAAAAATTTAACTCATGTGAATGTTACTATTTGCCCCAACACACAACGCGCACTCGATCCGACATAAAGGAATGGACCCAGTAACCTCTTTTAAAAATGTTTTACCTTTTTCTTAAAGTACTTGTTAATTCAACTTAATTAACAGAATGTTAGCTTCCATAATGTGTGTTTCTCTAAAATTCCGGGCTATATATGTTCGCACATCCTGTGCTTTGAGTCCGTAGCAGGTCTATTTTTAGTCAAAAAAACCCTCATCTGCGCTGGCCATTAATCGTTAGTTCCGGTTGTATCTGCAGACGTTAGCACCCAA